CTTTCTTTCTTTCTTTCTTTCTTTCTTTCTTTCTTTCTTTCTTTCTTTCTCTCTTCCTTCCTTCCTTCCTTTCTCTCTTTCTTTCTTTCTTTCTTTCTTTCTTTCTTTCTTTCTTTCTCACTTTCTAGATGTAACAAAGTCCATTGTGAATGGAAGAGGCAATAGTGAGAAACTGGTAGTTTGGCTACATTTACCCAGATAACTGTGGTATAAGGCATAATGTGTTAAGTGGTAAAAGGCGAGTATCGCTAGGGTACTGAAGGCAAAGCTAGGAGGAAAGGTGAGAGTAACTAGGAAAGTGTCTTGAGTACCTTAAAGAACTGAGTAATAGATGAAAGCCTAGGGAAGAGAATATTCCTGGAGTTTATAAGAGAAAGTGGTCTCTGATATAACTTTACAGAAACTTGACAGGAAATGAAGCTTCATGGGAGGCCATGTGGTAGAGTGGTTAAGAGTGTGAGTTCTAGAGCTGGGCCATCTAGGTTCAACCCCAGCACTGTCTCTTGGTGCTGTGTGACCTTGGGTGTACCTTTCTGACAATACAGTGTAAAATGGGGATGATCGTAATGATAAGACCTACCTAAGAGAATATATGCATGTATGAAATAAGAATATTCAGGCAAAAGGTTTGGATTGGTATTTGATGTTAAGAAAGTGCTCAGTACACGTTAGCTACCTAGCAACTTTTATTGTATGTTTTCCTTTTTCTTTATAACCTTGTAGCTATGTATTTTTAACCCATAGAATTGTACCTCTTGAGGCAGCATCAACCAAATTCAGAGGACTCAAGAATACTTTTATAACATAGATCACTTACAGGAATTAAGGAGCTGCAACAACAGCTTGGATTAAAGTTGACAACAAAAGTTAATCTCCTTTTAATTGTGAAATGTGACAAAAGTAATACATTGTAACGCGATGTGACAGTAGTAAACCGTTGAATAATAGTAAATATGTTTCAATTGTATGATTAGACACCTGACAAATCCTAGGTGCTATCCAGGATATCATACATAGGTAAACAATACTCGTGCTTCAAAAAAATGAACGTAAGTGCATTTATTTAGTGCCCTTTGATGCAAATGCTTAGAGTCTTCTGACACAGTACACTGTTAATTATAATTTATCAGACAATACTATGTAAACATGTTTAGTATTTTTCACATATTTTTTAATGCTGTAGACAAAAAAATATTATCAAGCTCAGGGTTTCCTCTCTACTCCTCCAAACCTGTTTTATGCACAGGGTGAATTATTGGCCTTAGGAAAGAGAGTGATTGGTTGAGCTCACCCTTTTCCTTCCTTTTTTTTTTTTTTTTTTTTTTTTTTTTTTTTGACTGCAGGTAGTGGGCAGCAGTCAGTGACAGGTGTAACCTCTGTGGATGACAGCAATAGTTACTGGAGGATACGGGGGAAGACCGCTACAGTGTGTGAGAGGGGAACCCCCATCAGATGTGGCCAACCCATCCGGCTGACACATGTCAACACTGGCCGAAATCTCCATAGTCACCACTTCACCTCACCTCTTTCTGGGAACCAGGTGTGGTGGCATCCTGTGCATTACTCCATTGAGTGGTCTGATATCTGGGTTCTTAGCTCTTTCTTTTTTAGGTGTAGCTGTTATTTTTGTACAGATCTGGAGAATTGGCTTTGTCTCAAAAGTGTTGAAGGACATTGTTTCTGGTCAAAGTAGAGATTGTGCATCTAGATGAAATCAAGAAATGAGGAAAGAATAGGTATATGTTAGCATATCATAAGTCACCTTGATAAATCCTGCAATAAAGAAGCCCAGTGTTGACACATGAAAAGATTCTGAACATCACTCATCATCAAGGAAATGTGAATCAAAACCACAACGAGATATCCTTTGTCAGAATGGCTACGATCAAATAAGAAGAAGCGTTGGCAAGGAAGCAGAGAAAAGGGAACCCTTGTGCACCGTTGGTAGGAATGCCAACTGGTGCAGCCACTGTGGAAAATAGTATGGAGTTTCCTCAAAAAGTTAAAAATAGAAATATCGTATGATCCAGTATTTCCACTACTATTTATCTAAAGAAAATGAAAACAATAATTTGAAAAGATAGATGTACCACTATATTTATTGCAGCATTATTTGCAATAGTCCAGATATGGAAGCAACCCAAGTGTACATCAGTAGATGAGTGGGTAAGAAAGATTTGGCATAGACATATATACACAATAGACTCAGCCATACAAAAGGATGAGATCTTGCCATCTGTGACAACGTGGATGGACCTAGAGGGTATTATGCTAAGTGAAATAAGTCAGAGAAAGACATAGCATACGATTTCACTTATATGTGGGACCTAAGAAAACAAACAAAAAGCAGAGTCAGACCTATAAATGTGGAGAACAAACTGATGGTTGTTGGAGAGGAAGGGAGTGGGGAGATGGGCAGCATGGGTGAAGGAGTGTGGGAGATAGCAAGCTTCCAGTCACAGAATGAATAAGTCCCTTTGACATGGATGAAAGCTACAGGATAGGGAATATAGTTAGTGGTATTGTAATAGCATTGTATGGTAACATGTAGTTACACACTTGGGGTGAGCATAACGATATATATAGACTTGTTGAATATACATCTGAAACTGATGTAACATTGTGTTTCCACTAAAAACAAACAAACAAAAGGAGAGCCTGGGTAGCTCAGTTGGTTAAGTGTCTGGCTTCAGCTCAGGTCATGATCTCACAGCTTGTGAGTTTGAGCCCCACGTCGGGCTCTGTGCTGGAGCCTGCTTCTGGATTCTCTGTCTCCCTCTCTCTCTGACCCTCCCTAGCTCGCTCTGTGTCTGTCTCTGTTTCAAAAATGAATAAATGTTAAAAAAAAAATAAAAATTAAAAAAAAAACAAAACAATGTTTTCCAAACTTTGAATAAAAATTATTATTTTAAATGATGCCAACTAACCATATTAGGAAAATGAATTAGGTATTGTGCCACTTTCTTATTTTTATTTTTTAAGTAATCTCTGTGCCCAGTCTGAGGCTTGAATTCATGACCCCCAAGATCAAGAGTTGCATGCTCTACTTAGTGAGCCAACCAGGTGCCCTAGTATCATGCTACTTTTTCAAGCCTTGAGCTTTTAGGAGATATGGACCCCTTAATGACTGCTTCCGTCCTACCCCCACTCTGCACATGGTTTTCCATACTAGCATCTTACATTAGGTAAATTTCATGCAGTCTATAAAGTAGTATTGATACATTGATTTTTTTAAAAATTAATTTATTTAGAGAAAGAGTGCTAGTGCCAGCAGGGAGGAGGGGCAGAAAGAGAATCCCAAGTAGGCTCCACACCCTCAGCACAGAGCCCAGCTGGAGGGGGGTCGAACCCGTGAAACGCGAGATCATGACCTGAGCTGAAATCACGGGTGGGATGCCCAATTCGCTGAGCCACTCAGGTGCCCCTTGTTATCAACCAGAGTCCAAGGTTTATTTTGATTTCCTTAGATTTTACCTACTGTACTTTTTCTGTTCCAGGACCCCATTCAGGCTACCACATGACATTTAGTTGTCCTGTCTCATGCTACTCTTAGGTGTGATACTTTCTCAAATTCTTGTTTTTGATGACCTTGGTAGTTTTGAGGGATGCTGGTCAAGTGTATTATAGGGTGCTCCTCTAGTGAGCTCTGTCTGATCTTTTTGTCACAATAGATCAGATTTACAAAGGTTTTTGGGAGGAAGGCCACAGGAGTAAAGTGGCATTTTCATAACAGAGTCAAGGGTACATACGGAGCTGCACGATTATGTTGGTAATTGATTACCTTGCTGAAATAGTGTTTGTCAGGTTTCTCTAGTAAAGCTATTCTTTTCTTCCTCCTTTTCATATTGTGTTTTTGGAAGGAGGTCACTATGCACAACCCACACTTAAGGAATGGGAGTTATACTCCCTTTCCCATAGAATAGAGTAGCTACAAAATTTATTTGGAATTCTTCTGCATGGGAGATTTGTCTCTTTTTACTTATTTATTCAATCATTTATTTATATCAGTATGGGCTCATGAATATTTTATACATTGATTTATGATCCCCTAATACTGCCTTTATTTTTTGCTCAAATTGTTCCAACTTTTGCCATTGGGAGCTCTTTCATTTGTCTCCTCCGTCCATTTGACATACTCCCATTTTTGTGTGTGTGTGTGTGTGTGTGTGTGTGTGTGTGTGTGTTTTAAACTGTCCTTTCTTTCTGGCACTCAGATATTCTAGGCTCATCTTGTATATTTCTTTTTAGTTTTTTCATCTTGTATATTTCTTGCCCCAGTCCTTAGAATCAGCTATTCCTCCAAGAAGGTCTGTTTCCTTTTATCGGAGGATGATATTAGAAACCATGATCTTAGCTCTTACATGAGTTTGTTGCTACTGGGGTGTGTTGGATCTTTTAGCCTTCTCACCTGACAGAGCAAAGAAACGTGTATATGTATCCATGTATTACTAAATGTTTATATGTGTAAGGACCTGTATCTGTATTATGTTAAACATGAGTTCCTACTGACATCTCCAACTATATATAATCCATTACCACTTAAGTCATTTTAGCCTCTTCTCTTTACTTATTTGTAAATTTCCACACTAACAGATAATCTGGCTCCCACCAGTGTTAGTTATTACTTGTTCAGTTCCATATGCAAGTATAGTAGAATTGTTAATTATGTGTAGTTCCTTTTGCCTTTAGTCTTACAGACTCTTTCCAAATGACTGTTTTATTTGTTTGTTTATTTATTTATTTAATCTTTTATTTTTATTTATTTTTAAAGAAATATTATTTTGAGAGAGAGAGCGCGAAAGGGGGAGGGACAGAGAGAGAAAGAGGCAAAGAATCCAAAGCAGGCTCCAGGCCCTGAGCTAGCTGTCAGCACATAGCCTGATGCAGGTCATGATCTTGTGGTTTGTGAGTTCGAGCCCCGCATCGGGTTCTGTGCTGACAGCTCAGAGCCTGTAGCCTGCTTCAGATTCTTTGTCTCCCTCTTTCTCTCTCTCTCCCACACTCACGCTTTCTCTTTCTCTCTTTCTCAAAAAATGACTAAACATTAAAAAAATTAGGGGCACCTGGGTGGCTCAGTCACTTGAGCGTCTGTCTTCGGTTCAGGTCATGATCTTGCAGTTCGTGAGTTCAAGCCCTGCATTAGGCTCTATGCTGACAGCTCAGAGCCTGGACCCTGGTTTGGAGTCTGTGTCTTCGTCTCTGTGTCCCTGCTCCTCCCCTGCTTGTGCTCTCTCTTGCTCTCAGACATAAATAAACATTAACACTTTTTTTAAATAATTAAAGAAAAAAAAGGACATGCTTAACCAACTGAGCTGCCCAGATGCCCCTGTAACTTTTCTATTGCAGTAGAAATTCTGAATATTTGGCTTTAAGGGGAATGGGATTAGGAGAGAAGTGGAAGAGAGACTGCTATCACTTATTCTATTATTTCATTTAGTTCTTACAATTATTCTATAATGTGATACTGTCATCATTTTTTAGATGAGAAAATGAAGGCTCAGAGGAGTTACACAGGAAGGAATGGAGCTGGGGTTCAAGGTCTGCTAGTCTCCAGAGCCCATCCCCCTTTGTAACTTGTGTTGCTTCCCAGGTCACTTAAAATGTAGTTAAGGGAATGGGGCAGGAATACTTCAAGTCAAAGAACAAGAGTAAGACTGTAATAGAAAACGTAAGGCAAGCATTGGATTTCTTGTAAAGTAAGTGTTTGGAACATAATCCTAGGGCAACTGATTTCATGTCCTTTGTGTCTTTTTATTTATTTATTTATTTTAATGTTTTTATTTATTTTTGAGACACAGAGAGACAGAGCATGAGCAGGGGAGGGGCAGAGAGAGAGGGAGACACAGAATCCGAAGCAGGCTCCAGGCTCTGAGCTGTCAGCACAGAGCCCGACGTGGGGCTCGAACTCACACACCGCAAGATCATGACCTGAGCCGAAGTCGGACGCTCAACCGACTGAGCCACCCAGGCGCCCCACGTCTTTTTATTTTTAAATAACCCTGGAAAGCCTCTTATTTTTCACCTTGGGTAGCCTTAGTTTTCTTCCCATTCCTCTCTGTCTCCTTTCCGAGCCTATGTGTCAGTCATGCTAATATTGCAACCCTTTGTGTCTTTCAGGAAGTGAGCGCTTTTGGTGAGGAGGGTGAAGGCGATTATCTGGATGACTGGACAGTGCTCTGTAATGGGCCCTACTGGGTGAGGGATGGTGAGGTGCGGTTCAAGCATTCTTCCACTGAAGTTCTGCTGTCTGTCACCGGAGAACAATACGGTCGACCCATTAGTGGGCAAAAAGAGGTACATGGCATGGCCCAGCCTAGCCAGAACAACTACTGGAAAACCATGGAAGGCATCTTCATGAAGCCCACTGAGTTGTTAAAGACAGAAGCTCATCACGCAGAGCTGTGAGTCTGGAAGCTGTGAGCCAGTGCCACCGCACAGTGTTCATGACATTTGCTGCTGCTGCTCCACCTTGGGATCCCTGTCACAGGTTCCCCGGGCAGTGGCCTTGTCACCACTGAGATGAAGATGCATGACAGAATACAGTGGCTGTGGCTGGAAGCTTCAGCCCTTTACACTTGAATTGGTTGTTCTCCCAGACTTTGGGTCAGTTCTTTTTGAGTACAGGACTTGCTGGTGAAGGAGCACATACTTTTTGTTCGTATCGATAAAACAGAAACTGAGGGAGATACCTCTCTTAGTTGGGAAATTTTTACTCCTCAGAAGCTTGGCATCATGGATTATTGATGTGTGACTTTTCTCCTACTTTCTCCAGAATGATAAAGAATTTCATTATTAGTCATCATGTTGTCATTTATTAGGTGTGCTATTTCATAATCTGATTGATCCTTGAGTCTTATGAGAGTCACCGCTACTACTCTTGAGATGCTGGAAACCTTTGGTGTGGGCCCTTTTAAGAGCCTTATTTGCATCCAAACTTTTTCTGTTTCCACTTTCCGAGCACCTCAGTTTTACTAGATTTTTGACTAATTATGGCTAAAGACCCTCAAGGAATACAGCTTAATAAATAGCCAATAAAATGTTTTACTCTGAATTTGTTACTGCAGTTGAGAGAAAGGGTTAAGGGTAGTAAGAAGGAACCAATATTTATTCACTGCTAAAACTAGATACCGTACTATAGTTCTTACCTCATTTAATTTTCACAGAGGTATTGTAGGGTAGATCTTAACAGTTTTACCAATGCAGAACATAAAGGTTTAGTAGCTGTGTGCATTTTTTTTTTTTAAGTTTATTCTGAGAGAGAGAGAGAGAGTGCAAGCAGGGTAGGGGCAGAGAGTGGGGGCGGGGGGGGGAATAACAAGCAGGCTCTGTGCTGTCAGCGCAGAGCCTGATGCAGGGCTTGAACTCAGGAACCGTGAGATCATGACCTGAGCCGAAATCAAGAGTTGGACCCTTAACCGACTGAGCCACCCAGGTGCCCCAACTGTGTGAATTCTTAAAGCTAATAATTTAAGGATAGGAATCCAGCTGTGTCTCTTTTTTTTTTACTGCATTACACTTGTGTTTCACTCTTGGATGATAACTGCTTTGTTTTGGACAAATGTAGGGATATCTTTCTCTGAACGGGGGGTAGAAAACTTTCGTTCTCTGCTTACCTCATTTCTTCCTTTTTGTTTCTGGGTCAATTCTAGAAAGTTTGCTCCTAGGTCTTTCAAGCATGGTTGTGGTGAACAGAAGTGTCTGCCATCTGCTGGAATTTCAGTGACTAGCAGGTCTTTTTATTTTTAGAAACATTTTTTGGGGGGTAACTGGCTGGCTCAGTACATGGAGGGAGGGTGTGACTTGATCTCGTGGTGGTGAGTTTGAGTCCCATGTTTGTTTTTTTTTTAACGTTTATTTATTTTTGAGACAGACAGAGCATGAACAGGGGAGGGTCAGAGAGAGGGAGACACAGAATCTGAAACAGGCTCTAGGCTCTGAGCCGTCAGCACAGAGCCCGACATGGGGCTCGAACTCATGGACCGTGAGATCATGACCTGAGCCGAAGTCGGCCGCTTAACCGACTGAGCCACCCAGGCACCCCTTGAGTCCCATGTTTTAAAAAGAAAGAAATACCGATTTTTTTTTTCCTCCTTTGCTTTGGGGACTCAACATTAAACATTTGGGGATACCTGGTATGTGCCCATGACATTAAAAAGCTTGGTGTTTTTTACAAGGACTTGTTTCAGTAAGTTGAGACCATGAACTAGTTGGGCTCTATCTCCATCTTCTCCCCCATTTTCCCACTTCAGTTGCATTGATCATTTGAGATCTCTCCATGGTGACAGTCTGGGAAGAAAAAAGAAAGGAAATGCTAGGAATCCGCTGAATAAAGGGAACAGATTGGACAAGATGAATGAGAGTAGGGAGGTTTGTTGCAAGGAACCCCTACATGGCTTGAACAGTGTTTTCACTGAGTCATTGGGCCTTCCCTTAGGGTTAACAGAATCTACCCTGCTGGGAAGCAGATTACAAGGAAGATGGCGGAGCGGTAGAGCTTGAGAGAGAAATATGGATTTGAAACAAATGGAGTCTTTGCAGAGATGTGACAGGCAAGAGGACTAAGAAACCAGTTGGAGGGGTAAAAACTATTGGCGATTCTATGTGAAAGTTGGAAATGGTGCTTTATCTGAAGTAGTGGAAAAGTGTCCAGGTAAAATCTTGAAGGGTATTTATGGAGATTAGGATGAGAGAGCAAAGGGATATGAGTACTTATTTTGAAGTCCTCAGAATTTCTTTTTTTTTTTTTAATTTTTTTTTCAACGTTTATTTATTTTTGGGACAGCGAGAGACAGAGCATGAACGGGGGAGGGGCAGAGAGAGAGGGAGACACAGAATCGGAAACAGGCTCCAGGCTCTGAGCCATCAGCCCAGAGCCTGAGGCGGGGCTCGAACTCCCGGACCGCGAGATCGTGACCTGGCTGAAGTCGGACGCTTAACCGACTGCGCCACCCAGGCGCCCCTAGAATTTCTTTAGTTTGTATTTATTGTATTAGCATCACTGTATTAGAGTTGGAAGGGAATGTTGTCCAATTTCCTCATTTCACAGAGAAGGAAACAGGCAAAATAAAGTTGGTCCTGAATTATTTCTTGCAATTATGTTTGCTTCCCAGATAAAGTATTTGTTCCTCAGGGGCAAGAACAATATTCTCTATTTCTGTCATATTCCCCCAGCCCAGTGCCCAGATCGTGCTGTACAGAGAAGACACTGAAAACTTGTCCAATGAAGCTCACACAGGTCAATATGTAGTAAGTGACTAGAACAGTATTCAAATAATAAAATGAATGAAAAACTCATTTCTTGTTGGATAGAATGAGGTGGGAATTTTAACTGATGTCTTTTATTAAAAAAAAATTTAATATTCACTTTTGAGAGACAGAGTGTGAGTGGGGGAGGGGCAGAGAGAGAGGGAGACACAGAATAGGAAGCAGGCTCCAGGCTCCCAGCTGTCATCACAGCTCCCAGCGTAGGGCTCGAACCCATCGAGGGTGAGATCATGACCTGAGCTGAAGCTGGATGCTTAACCAACTGAGCCACCCAGGCATCCCATAACTGATGTCTTTTAGTTCTTGGTTTCCTCCTTAAGGATTTTAAGATAAGGTTCTTGAGTAAGATATGACAGCTACTTCGTAGGAC